AAGCCCATACGGGCAAAAAAGCCCATACGGGCAAAAGTGCCCATGTCTGCTATAAACTATAACTATTAATAAATAAATGATTGAATTGTCTAATTAAATAAACTGTGTCGGTCATTTAAACAGGGGTACAGCAGACAGTATTCCCCACATAAATGCCAAGAAGCAGGTGAGCCCCCAGTCGTCCCCATACCTGCCTTGGCCTTCCTATGAAAAAACATTACAGAAATAAATATTTTTTATAACTTTGGAATGACTATATTTACCTATATTTTGCCGTCTAATTGTCAATCTTAATTTTTACAGATGAGGAATTGACATCATATCCTTGCATTTGCATGGCTGTTTTTTCTGGGCCCCCTCAAGTCATCCACTTTTTGTTGCCACAACATCACAAATACCTCCTTTGCATCTGCGGTCCAATGATTTCGCGATCGCTTAATTTTTTATTATCAATATTTATTAATATAAACGCGCACAGGAAAAAACTATCAACAAATATGTATGTATCAGCAAAACAAAATGTCAACAAATATTTATGTATGTACACAGAAACAACCGGTATTGCCACTCTTTTTCATTAAATCTTGTTCGAATCTTCGAAGAGCGCAGGGTTGCTTTTAGCATTTAGATTCTTAATGCAAAGATGGAGTTGCATTTAGTTGCATTTAGATGACGAATTTTGTATGGATAAATGTACATTAAGAGTAGCATTTCGAGCTAAATGCGCTAAATGTACATTTACGCGTAAGCAAAAACAACCCATATTTAACGGGAAATTCCATCGTTCCAGACCGATTCAGGTGAATCTGGTTTAAGGACACCGTGGCCGTGCACATTATAAACATGATGTTTAAAAATATGATAATTTGAATTAATTAAAAATTGCGGATTAATTTTTTCGCTTTTTTATAACTATACTAGCGGTACCCCGGTGTGCTTCTCTACACCAATATTGAAAAAAAAATATTGAAAAATCCTGGCATTTTTCTATATGAATTTTTTTTTTACTATATTGCAGCCATGTTTATACTTGACTTAATTTATCCGAAGAAAAATTAAACACAGCACATCATAGCAACAATTTTTCACTATGATTTCGATTTTTCGTATATCTGCTGTTGTACCATATACGTGGTTCATGTGACAGACATAAACCGTCATATATCATGAACCGCTTGACCGAATTCGGGCACACTTCACATAACCCATCTGCATGATAGTCCGAATATACCGTTTAAATTTGGTAGAAGTCGTGCACTTCTTTTTTTATTTAAGATGGGAGGTGCCACGCCCCCTTTTCCAATACCGCACATTTTTTCTCCATGAGTATGGAATTAGTTCATATGTCTATACCAATTTTCAGTAATCTACCATAAATATTTCAAGAGATATACCTTTTGCCCGTATGGGCTTTTTTGCCCGTATGGGCAAGCGGGCCCATTTCGGGGGCTAGATCAGGGGGAAATCATGGGCAAACGGGAAGGGGGCAACAAATCTTACTAATACACGTATATATACAATGAGAGCCACTGCACACGCATTCTGGAGTAAAAAGGCTCACTCTCCCAAATGTACGCCACATACACTCCTCGTCATTTGAATAGCTCAACTTTTTAATCTTTAGTATTTACACTTTTAATTTTGTTTATTTAATATTCATTACATCCGATTTTAAAACTTTATACAGAATTAACAAAATGTCAACAAAGGGGTACAATAAAGTGCAAGTTTCAAGGTCTATAAAATAGCGTTGATTTTTGAAAATTTTTTTGGTNGTGATTTTTGACAATTTTTTTGGTGATAGTGCTGCGCATTTTCTCTCATACAAAGTATGCTCGACAAAACTTTTATATGGAATAAAATGCGCAGCACTGTCAATAAAAAATAAATGAATTTGAAAAATCGGGGCTGTTTTAGGGTCACTTCAAACTTGCACTTAATTACACTATAATTGAATGGGCTACAAAACTGCATATCAGAAATTTTTCTAAAAATATTCGGCCCTATTCCCGTTGGCGTTGTCGTTATAATAATCGTTTCTGGCCCTTATTATGAGCTGCATTCGATTTTCGATCTTCGCTGGCTATCGAAGATCGAAAGTGAAATTCGTATTATGAGCTATGCAGGCGTGTCGAAATTTTCGTTGAGTATCGAATTTTCTGTCGAACAGAATTTTGCTTTCGATGGTGTAACGAAGTGTTAGAAAATTGTGAAAAATGTATGATTTTGTATATGTTTTCTTACATTTTGGCGGCTAGACACTAATTTTAAACAATTTTTATTAATTTCATGCAGTTCTAACATCGTGAATACTAAACACAAGCTCGAAAGGCTGGTTTTACTTGTGAAAGAAAATCCCAATGCTCTGTTGGCACGATCTCTGAGAACAAAATCGTAGCGCTGTTGATAGTTTTAAAATATTTTAAATAGATTTGGCTCACAAACGCCTCTTTAGATGGTCGGAACTTTTTAATGAATCTGTAGACAAATTTCTTAAATATATTTTATATCAAAATATATTCGAAAGACTAATAAACTTAAATGTTTAAGAGAGCATTTGCTACTCCTGGCCAGTTTACTAAGCTCTCATCCTCTGACGAATCGTTGAACCAGAACTCGTTGTACTCATTTTACCACGTTTTTATAAAATTGCTTTCTTTTTTACTTCATTTTAATTAGAACAAATTTGCATAAATATGTATAAGCACACTATTTAGTTTGCTCGATTTGTAAACAAAGCTTCTCAGCGGTGAAAAATATACTATTGTGAACAACCTAAACGAGCGAAATTCACAATAGCGCTATTCTTCATCGAATGAGCGCCATAATACCAAATGAAAATTCGTTCGCTCAGCACTTTCGACCACAGTCGAAAATCGAATGCAACTCATAATAGGGGCCTCTATGTCGTTGTCGTTTTTATCGTCGCTTCGTTCCTAAATTCACATTCTTGAAGTATATTGAAACGATGGTGAAAAGTTATCGAAAACAAAAAATTTAAATTAATAAAGTATGGTAGCGCTGCAATGTTTTGCGTTGTTACTTTTGACACTGAATTTTGAATTTTGTTATACTAACGAAAAATTAAAGAATGGCGAGTACGGAATTTTATTTTTCAAGTTCAAGTGAGGACAATGAAATGAACAACATAAATAAACATCGCAGGAGATTACGGCATAGCATAAATGTACTAACACTTCCAGATACAATGTAAGAAAATGTATTTGAGTAAATTATTTATATATATACGTACATGTACATATGTGCATATTTTTTAGATTTGTGAACACCTTTAGACTGAACAAAGCTGCGTTTCAATACGTCCTAGAGCAAATCCGCCCGAAACTAAAACGCAACACGCGAAAGTCTGCTATTACGCCAACAATAAAACTGGCAACTGCTTTGCGTTTTTTTGCGCAGGGGTCATATCAGCTTAGCGTTAGAAATGACTTTAATTTGTCGTTGACCCAACCCACGGTAAGCAAAATTTTATCCGAGGTATTAGACGCGATGGAAACTACAATTTGCAAAAACTGGGTTAAGTTCCAAATGTCGGAAGATGAGGAGATGGAGTGCAAGCGAAGTTTTTTTGAACGAACTGGTTTTCCTGGAATCATTGGCTGTGTAGACGGAACGCATATTAAAATAATTGGTCCCTGCAAAAGCTCTCAACATTTGTACTACAACAGAAAAGGTTTCTTTAGCGTAAATGCAATGATTGTAAATACTTGAATGAATGTAATTTATGGAAGTGATTACTAACTATTTATTCTTTTTTGTATTAGATCTGTGATCATAAAAAGCGTATAAGATACGTAGACGCCAGACATCCAGGCTCTGGACACGATTCCTTAATACCAGCCGAGTAAAAAGGTTTTTACAGGAAAAATATGAAGCTGGTGAACGTAATTCGTGGATTCTTGGTATGAAATTACAATTAATATTGAAATGAGTTTTACATACAAGTTTTTAGGCGATGCGGGTTACCCATTAGAACCATTTCTAATGACACCTTATAGATCAGCGACTGAACACAGTGCGGAAAGCCGCTACAATTCCGTTCATTCCAAAGCCAGAAATATTGTTGAGTGAGTGATTGGAGTACTCAAATCGCGATTTCGCTGCCTCCTTGGAGCGCGTGAGTTACACTATGATCCCCAAAAAATTACTAAAATCGTAAACGCTTGTGCTGCTCTCCACAATATTTGTCTTCACTACAATACTTACTTTCCTGAAGATGATCTACAAACGCCATTCGAAGAAGCAGAAAATTCAGCCATTATTAATGAAAATGAGGCAGGCAGTAGCTCAGAGGCTTCCAGAATAAGAGATGTGATTAAAAGCAATTTGTCTTTATAAGTTATATTTTTTAATTCATACTATATACATACATACTTAAAGTAAAAAAAGAAAAAACACTTCATAAAAAATAAATAAAAATTCAAATGAAATAAATTAGATATTGGAACTTAATTGTTTCTCCAATAACTCCAACTTCTTTCTTTTTATTGCAGCATCCAGCTCCAAAAGCTCTTCCTCTTTACGCACTTTCCTTTTGTAAATTTTTAGGCGTTCTTCTTCTATCTCATACCTTTTTCTTTGGTATCTGGAAACATCTTTCATGTATCCCTTAATGGACTGTAAATGGTCGCACTGCACTTCCTGTATTTCGGTCTGCTTCCTCAACAGCTCAATTCTTTCTTTTTCTGCAGGTTTTGTGCTTCTTGAGGACCGCACTCTTGTTGAAACTGTGGGTATTTCATCTTCCACATATTCTTCGATGACGTATTCTTCGGCGTTTTCTGCATTTGCCTGTACTTGAGAACTCGCAGTCGTTTCATCAAGGTTAAGCAACTCATCAATTTCGGTTTCTTCAACCAAACCCAACTCACTCCCTTTGGGGTTTATTTGCTGCTCAAACTGCAACCAATTTGCCACCGCTCNTTTACGCACTTTCCTTTTGTAAATTTTTAGGCGTTCTTCTTCTATCTCATACCTTTTTCTTTGGTATCTGGAAACATCTTTCATGTATCCCTTAATGGACTGTAAATGGTCGCACTGCACTTCCTGTATTTCGGTCTGCTTCCTCAACAGCTCAATTCTTTCTTTTTCTGCAGGTTTTGTGCTCTTGTTGAAACTGTGGGTGTTTCATCTTCCACATATTCTTCGATGACGTATTCTTCGGCGTTTTCTGCATTTGCCTGTACTTGAGAACTCGCAGTCGTTTCATCAAGGTTAAGCAACTCATCAATTTCGGTTTCTTCAACCAAACCCAACTCACTCCCTTTGGGGTTTATTTGCTGCTCAAACTGCAACCAATTTGCCACCGCTCCTTCCAGTGGAGACAGTTGCATTTGTCTATTGGCTCCTCCTCCTGTTGCTCTCGCTTCGGTTTTGTTGTTGACCAGTTTTTTCTTTACCTTGAATTTCAAGTCCTTCCATACCTTTAGTAGAATTGTAGAATCGTTAGTTTTAAGTAATATTTACTGTTAACATAATTTTACTTACTTTATGCCAACCTTCTCCATCACGAACTGGAGGTCCAAAAGGATTTACTTTTTCCGCAACCACGTTCCAAAAACTGTTGAAGTTAAGAGGTTTTATGCCCTTCCTAAAACCTTTGGCGTACGCGGGATTCTTTTCCATTTCTGAAACTAAAACCTCAAATTGCTGCACGGTAGTAATTTTCATTTTAACTTTATTAAAATCGTAATCCTTTCGCTTTCGTTCTAAAAAATGCGGACGACAGTAGACGAATGTTTCTATGGCGTTCCTATCTTCGTTTCAAAATGGACGACAACGCCAACGGGAATAGGGCCGATTATTAACTTATTCACTGCAGGTCATTAGGATCCTATGTTGACCTTTTTTAAGAACTGTTTCCAGCTCTCGAGAAAAACGAAAAATCATTTAAAATGCTGCCCACGAAATGGAAAATAAACTTTCTTTTAAGTTTTAGTTTGTAAAAAATTTTAAAACTGCATTTACCCATAGAATATGCTATATCGTCACTAGACAGGAATAAAGGCGCGAGCTCAAAAGTTGACGGCGAAAAAAGTCGCATAACAAAATTTCAGCGTCAAATACTCTTAACATACTTCGCCAAAATTTTTTATAAGCATCTTTTTTCGCAAAATTTTTTTAAACGCTTTTTTTCACCGTCAAAACACCAGCGCGCCTTTATTCGTATGTAGTGACGATATTTTTACAAACAATTTATATTAAATAAACAAACGGAAAACTGTAAATACTAAGAATTGAAAGGGTGTGCAATTCAAATGACGAGGAGTGTATATGAGCAGATGTGATCACTACCACAAGTAAACGCGAGCTGAAAGCGTGATTGTGTTAGTGTGCCAATTACGTTTGAATGAATTTGCGTTCGCTTTGTTACGCTCTCGCATGTATTTGCATGTGATCTTACGCTCTTTAAGCAGGCGCTCACTCTCTGTCCATGCTTGTATATGAGCAAATTTGACATCGATATAACTGTTGCCAACTTTGTGCCTTTCGCAAGAAATTAAGTGCGTTTAGGGAATTAAAAGGCGAAAATTGTTTAGTTTAGCGCTTGTTTTGTTCTTTGGTGCCCTTTTCAAGGCCCGAACCAAATCGGACAATAAATATGGTTTTTCGAAATATCTCGACCTTGGCGCCACCTAGGAAGACCATTTTACGCAAACATGATTCTACTTACATAGCCAATATATATTTTAAAAAGCAGACGTTAGATATGACTTTTATTTTTTTGCCGTGGTGGACCTTCCGATGGAAACACCCATATATGTTACTACAATACTATATTCACTTAATTACCTTGTTTTCTATTGCCCACAAGCATTTTCAACCAAGCTTTTTGTGAAGGCGTCTTATCCAAACTGAATGGAAAATGCTTCATTAAATATTTGGAAAAACGAAAGGCAGAATCTCCAAGAATGACAACTGAGATGTCAAAATTTCCTAAATTTGTGCTCATTGTGTTCAGAAATGAGCAGTTCTCCAGTTCCCTTTTTAAGCTGGACTTTTCAAAGATTTGGGAATCATTACATCTTCCTGGACTTCCCACGTTGATGTATAAAAAACGTTATCTTTAAAAGAAAAGAAAAAGTTATGTGCTATGTAATTTACATTCGGAGGAATATGCATATACGCAAAATAAAATATCTAAAAATTTCATGCTGGGTACCTTGCATCAACAAGTGCTAGTAACACTGTTGAATACTATCCTTTATAAGTGATATAATCGACTGCTTCTTCCCGTCTGGGATGAATTTCTATGTGGCATCCATCTGAAAAATATATTCGCTACATAGTTGGGTAAAAATAATAATTTTAAGGGCTTACCAAGAGCACCCATACACTGAGGGAATCCAATGTGTTTAAACCGATTAACAGTCTTCAATAGTTTTTCTACTTAGGGGAAAGTGGTTGAAATACATTGGGTGTAACACTTTCCACACTTCCCTACAAAATTCCAAGAGAGCTGCGCATACTGTTGATTTGGCCACTCAAACAAGTTCGCAATGCTACGATATTCCGCTGAGGACCCAAGAGCATATAGGGCGATGGCAACTCGTTTCTCCAAGCAGATGGTATTATGGAATCTTGTTTCCTTTCTCTTTAGGTAATCCAGAAAACTGCATAATTTTTTAAAAGCACTTCTATTCAGTCTAAAATTTTGTCTGAAGTTATTCATGACGGATTCCATCCGCTCGGATCTAATCCGATCCGTACTCGNAATCATGCCTATTATGGTATCCGACGGATTCCATCCGCTCGGATCTAATCCGATCCGTACTCGATTCACTTTTTTAAGTAAACGCTATTATTGATACCGACGGATGCGTTGCCTCTTGTGAACTGTATTGCCAACATAATCAGCTGTGCTTATATGTGTGAAGGATTTTTGTTAACATTGGTGAAATTTATTGCAAATATTAAATGGATTCTGGGGGTTTTTTANACTGTATTGCCAACATAATCAGCTGTGCTTATATGTGTGAAGGATTTTTGTTAACATTGGTGAAATTTATTGCAAATATTAAATGGATTCTGGGGGCTTTTTATATTGATTTCGATGAAAACACCAGGAGTGATATGCGACGGACTAGAAGGAAAGTCAGGGATAATGTTGTGAATGTATTCGAGTGGCCGGTTAGGTGTGAGTAAATTTATTGAAGTCTTTATTTCATTTTAACTTGTGAGTTCCTTATACAGGTTTCTAAAACAGTTCGGCTTAACAAGTTAGCATTCAAGTACGTTTTGGAAATATCNGCGACGGACTAGAAGGAAAGTCAGGGATAATGTTGTGAATGTATTCGAGTGGCCGGTTAGGTGTGAGTAAATTTATTGAAGTCTTTATTTCATTTTAACTTGTGAGTTCCTTATACAGGTTTCTAAAACAGTTCGGCTTAACAAGTTAGCATTCAAGTACGTTTTGGAAATATCAATGCAGAAATTGCCTCCAGTTCGAAGATCATGTTCCATAACACCAGAGCTTAAATTAGAAGCCTGTTTAAGGTTTTTAGCTGAAGGGGGCTATCAGAATGGTACTGGCCAAGATTTTAATATTGGCATGGCACAATCCACAGTCTCTGTAGTACTCTCTGATGTACTAAACATCTTAGAATCAACTTTATGTCCCAGATGGACTACTTGNCATGTGTGTTGACGGTACTCACATTAAAATTCTTAAACCAGCTGCAGGCAATGCACACCTTTATTATAATCGGAAAGGATATTACAGTGTTAATGCAATGATAGTAAGAACTAAATGAGTTTGAACTTCTTCAATTTATTATTTATTTATATTCTTTTATTTTGCATTTTCAGATATGTGACCATAAGCAAAGAATAAGGTATGTGAACAGTAGGTATGCAGGTGCAAGTCACGATTCTTTTATTTGGGAAAATAGTGATGCTTTCACCTACTTCCAAGCGCAGTATGAAAATGGAGGCAGAAGCACAAGACTGGTAGGTACAAAAAAATTACGAATAATCAAAGTGCGTATTTTATCCACTGTTACCCAGGCTTATAACACCCTTTCGAAGTGCAGGCGTTGATAGTCCAGAAAGCAGATTTAATAAAAGCCATAGTAAAGGCCGTAATATTGTTGAACGGACCATAGGCGTTTGGAAGAACTGGTGCCGATGTCTCCTTTCTGCTAGCCAACTACATTATGCTGCTTAGAAAGTGGTTCAAATTGTACACGGTGCGGCAGCACTTCACAACATTCGGATACATTATAATATTTCCGACGAATACCAAGAGGAAGTCTACGAACCCGATGAATATGTAGGCGAACCTGTACAACCTCAACGATATACAAATGAAGCCACTCAAATTCGCAATGGGATGTTACGTAGCTTTTTGTAAAATAAAACTATTTATTATCACAAAATTCATTTTCATACATATTTCTTAATATTTAAGTAAAAAGCCTTCCTGGCAAAGTGTTGCACAAAGTTGTCTACACACTAAGGATGTAGATAAAAATAAAATCATATCACTTCATTGATTTACATACACAGTATTTTCAAAAAAACAGAAAAAAACTTAAATAATAAAGCCTTCCTGTTCAGAAAGTATTCAGGCACTACAGTTATAAAAAAAAATCCAATATAAAATAAAAACAAATCTCATAAAAAAAATTGTCAGGCCCCATTTATTTTAAGAATTAAGGTGTCTGTTGACGTTATTTAACTCAATATTTAAAAGTTCCGTTTTTAATCTTAATTTTTCTATAGCAGCCTTTTCCATCACAGCGTTATGTCTTTTAATCTCTTCAAGAGTATTCTGTAGAATTTCATTATTTTTCTTTTTTTGGTCGCCTAGCCTCTCTACTGATCTATTCAGTCTTTTTAAATGGTCCCTCATGTGTTGAAAATATTCCTGTTGGTTCTCAACAGCCTCAGACACTTTTTCGTACAGTCTTTCTTGAACCCCTATTTGCTTCTCTAATAAATCGAATTGCTCGGGTCTCTTTTTTCTTCTTTGGTTAGAAATATTTTGGTCATTCTCAATATTTACGTCTTCATGACCATCGTAATCTCTCCGAGTAGGTGGAGAAGTGTCCTCAGATATTCTCTCCTGCGGTACATCTCTCATAGCAGAAGCTCTCATCTGTGGAACATTTCTCGATGTAGATGGAACTGCGTCATCATAATTTCTCCCCTGTGGCACTCCAAACTGTTTGGAGTTTCTAATACCCCCAACGCAATCATTAAGACACACATGGTTAGCAACTTCTTCTTCCATAGATGTTAAGGGAATTTCCCTATTTTCTCCTCCACCAGTCGCATGTAGCTCTCTTTTGTTATGCGCGAGCTTCTTCTTTTTTGCCGATTTATAGTCCGACCAAACCTGTGGTTCAAACTTAGTGAATAATATATTTTAGCTTTTCAACATTTCGCAAACCTTTTTCCATTCTGCAATGGTTTTTGATGGCGGTCCAATCGAATTCAACTCCTCTCGCACACTTTCCCAAAATCTTTCTACCAAATCAGGTGCATTTTTAGTAAAATTTTTTGCTATGTCCGGATGCTCCTTCATTTTGGAAACTAAACATTTACATTGCTCCCTGGTCGTTGTACGCTTCCTAAAACACATAAGTTTGTGCATTATCGAGCGTTTCGATAATACCAAAATCTGTCAAAAGTGAGTAAAACTCCCTCCGCAACCATCTGTCGGATACCATAATAGGCCACCCCTATTGCGAATGTCGACTGACAGTAGATAAACGACTATTAAGCGATTATCGATTATCGATGCTATTGCGAGTGTCGCTTAGTCGCTCAATTAGCGACTGTGAATATTTTTAATCGCTCATCCTTCTATTGCTGTTTTTTAGTCGTTGGAGTTTGCGTTTATAAAATTTACATAAGAAAGTGGTACTATAATGGATAAAAAGTAAGTCAATTGAACTGGAAGTTGTAAAAAATTGTGAAATATACATATGCATGTATGTGTCTGAATTACAGATCAAAAATTATAAGCAACAAAAGGCAACTTGCGCGGTTGTTCGTACTGATGCAGGAGAGTGAAGACATAGGCAAAGGAATTTCCGGAAAGAGTAGGGTAGGAAGCTCCGCTTCTATTGGAAAAGATACATATACAATATTTCTTGTGCATATAACTCCGGCTACGCCATCCACAGTGTTTTTGCGCAGAACCAACATCAAAAGTTTATACAAAAAAACTGCATAATTTATTAATTGACTAGTGCTCGGAAATTTGAAATCTTTATTTTAAATTAAAGTTGAATTCTTTCAATACACTTGTTATGTTGTTATGTTAAAGTTTTTAAACTCGGGTCACGCGTTTGGACACAAAAACCCAACATCATTGTACAAAAAACTTAACCGTACCGTATTTCTTAAACTTCCATAAAGTTTATTAATGAGGAAAACAGCTTTTCCTGCAAATCATGTAAAGCCTAAAAACTGTGAAGCATCGGGAACGCAACTTCTATTCATAAAACTCACACATGTACATACACCTTCCGAGTCCAAGGGATCCGACGAATCTCGCAATTCCCTCCTTGCTTTAGCTAACTCTACTAATCTATTAGCTTCCGCATCATCTTCCTCATCACTAAACCATATTTCAACTGTGTACATTTTTTTAATTTTATAATAAAAGCAATTATTTTAAAAATGATGTAAATAAAACACTCAAGAAACAAATGTAAACAAATAAACAGCTGTTTACAATTCTGTCAATCATTCACAATAGTTCAAATTTTTATCGATCAAGTTACACAATAGCAAAATAAAAGATGATCGACTCGATCGACAAATTTCTATTCTACTGCCAGTCGACACTCGCAATAGGGGCCGGCATGATTATCTCGAGAGAATTGGCACTCGACTTCCCAAAACGTACTTCCTCGACTCTGTTAAACGTTGGATTTATAAGTATATGTACATATATACATACATACATACATACATACATAAGTGATTATAATTTTGTTTTCATACCTGTTGTGGAGCAAAGGTTCTTTCTTTTGTTGAAAGTTCCAAGTGGATGTATTCCCACATAACAACTTGCACGTTTTTATACAGAATTAGCATCTCCATAAATCGTGCACGTCTTTTTATTAATTCATGTATGGATGTGTTTATTTCTTCAATTTTCGCATAATTGATGGTCACAGATACATATAATTTCACCATTAATAAAATAAATTTAATTCGGCGAATTTTGCTTTAATTTTAATGTAAACAATAAACAGATGATTTCGAACTTGGGTAAATGTACATTTATTATATGCGATAGCATGAACGCTCTTTGAAAACATATGTTCGAAAGAGCTAAATGTTGGATTTTTTCCTTAAATTTAGTTGAACGATAAATATTATAAAATTTTGTTAAGTAGATAAATTTGATTATTTGATATTCACATAGCTTTTACAATATCCTATAAATGCGAAAGCGTATGTCTAGATACACATGCAAGTGTGGTAAGGTCATTTCCGTGCTAGTCAAAACAACCGCCAATCTCGCCTAATGTGAAACATAGAAAGGTTCTGAAGTCAACACAGGTTGTCTAAATGTTGTGATAGCAATGATTTTCCCACGGTTCATGAAACTTTTTGAGCTCGAAGTTGTAGAGCGACCTTCAAAGAGATTCGAGGTTATCTACAACAGGGGAGAATCAGAAATCAATTGAAGACGAGCTGCTTGCATACAGCCCATCTGAGCTTAAAGGTAAGCATTTAACTAAAACAATAAAAACTATTTTGCACATTCACTTGATCTGTCTTTTAGTCCTCTGATCCTTTAGACGAAGTTTTTCTACAACAAAAAAGACATTCTCGAAAATACTTGGTATTTTCTCAAAAGCACTGAATAAGTATGCAGTGATAAGGTTGGAAATTCGTTTAAACATTAAAAAAAAAAATTGGGTTAGAGGTGGCCCCGGCCCATACTTTGTACCGTCTCTGGACGATAACACAGGTTTATATTATTAAATGAAAAAAACTAACCAATAAGTAGAAAAAAACAATGCTTATAGTTAATTTCTTTGAAACCAGCTAAAAGTTGACCGTTATAAGTAGACCAAAGGTTGGCTATTGTAGTAAACGACTACGAAATTCCCCAAAGGGTATATGTAGATGTATATATGTACATATATGTACATATCGAGCCCTAACCACCAAAATAACCTAAGCGACATTTTTTCAAAATTTTGCCTTTTGATGCAAAAATGCATCTACATAGATGCTCTAGGAATATTTCTGCATCAAAAAGAAAATTTTGAAAAAAATGGCGCTTACGATATTTTGGCGTTTAAGGGTCGATATGAATGTACATATATACAACTACATATACCCTGTGGGGAATTTCGTAGTCGTCTACTTAGTAAACTCTGCTACAATAGAAAACTTTTGGTCCAAAGCTCAAAAAGCTTCATGAACTATGGGAAAATCATTGCGATCACAACATTTAAACAACACGTGTTGACTTCGGAACCTTTCTAATTCAATGAAAAGTCCGGCCCCGGGGAGAAACACCCCCGCCCTATAGACGAGCCTGCTCATATATGTATAAATATGTATACAATAGGCTTGTACATATGTAAATACATATTTTGGTTATCATTCATCTAGAACCTTATCGAAAACCTACCTGAAAATCGAAAAAGTTACCGTTTTTGAAAGCAGAATTTGCCACGATTTTGAACTTCACGTATTCTAATTCGGGAACAAATAGTACTTTATTTATTTATTGTTATCCTCTATAATACGGTATTTCTTATCTTCTACAAACACAGTACGGTTAACGGTATACAAATTCCTAACGGTGCCCGCAATCGGGCGAGGTCGACACTATTCTGTCGGTGCACTGCAGCTGGGCGGCGTCGGCGTTACTCTCTCGGCGCACTGTTGCTGGGCGACGTCGGAACTGCGCTGCCGATGCTCTACACTTTAAAAAAAATTTTAATTTTACATGCTAAAGCAGTGATTCTCAAAGTGGTCCAGATGGACCCCAGGGGTCCACGGAAGACTCGACGGGGGTCCACGGTGACGTGAAAAAAATTTGGGGATCCATGAGTTGTAAATGGGGGTCCACGAAAATGTATCTGGTTTCAATGGAAAGAACCAAAATGGTTGCTTGATAGCCTCTTTGTCTAACTTTAATTTTTATGAGTGGTGTATAGTGCTCTTGACTTACCGTCACTTTGTGTTTTAAGGCCACATGCAGACTAAAAAGAACCGGATGCTGGTATGACAATGAGTGAGGCGCGGCGAAAATTGCTGGCGGCAGAGATTTAAGCACTTGTGTCTTTTCAATGCTACAGGATAGTATGCCACCTTTACCTTTGTTGAAGAGATTCTATTATGTTGAGTTCCCTGAGACTGAATGCTGGTTTGGTTCTATCGCTGAGACCGGACTCACACATTGTCGAGTCTTCACTGATGGCTCAAAAACTGACTCTGGGTCATGATCTGGGGTCTTTTTCGAGGTTAATGGAGATAAACTTCACTTTTCTGTGAGGGAATATGCTTCGGTCTTCCTGGCTGAGGTAATTGCAATACTCAAAGCCATGGACTACGTGGTGGAACATATGTGGAGGGGAAGGAGTTTACGTGACTGCAGTGACATCCAAGCTGCACTTAAGGCATTGACCAGCCCTCTATTTAAGTATTCCAAACTAGTTCGACAATGCAAGTCTCGACTAAAATATGATGGTGAACATAACGAGGTTGTTTTACTCTGGGTGCCAGGTCACTCTGGAGCACCTGGTTATGAGACATCTGATCATTTGGCCAGAGTTGGCTAAGACCAGTCATTCCTCGGTCCGCAACCAGTTTTAGCACTTCCACCTTCGGCAATCGAAGCCACCATCAGAATCTGGGTGAATACTTCGCTCAGAAATGACTGAGAGTCGTCAAGGGGATGCAGGTGGGCAAAACTCATGTTGCCTTCAATCTCACAAGGTTTATCTAATTTTTTGCTCTCACTGAGCAGACGACACTGCAGACAACTTGCTGGACTGCTGACTGGTCACTTCACGTGGCACAAACACCCGACTGAAGAAGAAGAGACAGTGGAAAACTTTTTGTGTTTCTTGCTTGCTTGCTTATTTAAAATCGATTTTTTTAAACTCGTTCTTTTCTCTGTTGTCAGTTTCATTAAAAGTTTGGCGTAAAAAGCTTGGCCGTTTTGATGTTTTAAGTTTTGTGTTTTAAAAATGTGATAAATATTTTTCGCCTCACTTTAAAACTTGGAGCGATAAAAATAAAAATGATGCCATTAACACAAATAAACTATTTTACATATACTCCACGTGCAAAATCATCAGTGAGCCAAACATTTGATGAGTTTATGGAGAAGATAATGTAAATAACGCTAGCGCTCGCAGTGCTCTTAAAAAATATAACTCTTCCGAGAACACAAGAAAATATTTTACTTATATTTTGGCCACTCTGAGTTTAGTTTTTGAATACACCCGGGATGCAAATTTACATAGTTAGATCTAATTTTCACATTTAATTTTTTTACGAGCTTTGGGAATATTTAGAAATGTATCAGCAGGGGGTCCACCGAAGCAAAAAAAATTTTTAAAAGGGGTCTACGAGAAAAAAAGTTTGGGACCCTCTGTGCTAAAGGGTAGGTTACTGATTTCCTACCTTTATAATCGCGAAATCACATAATCAAGTATTTTACAACAAGACGGATTAAACTTGAACAATAAGTGTGTACGAGCTGCAC